AGGGCTAGAAAGAGAGGGACAAGTTCTCCAGCAGGACCTGAGCCCTCAGTGCAAGGGCAGACTGCAAACTCCAGCAGGACATTGCCCAGCATCTTCTAGGGCACAGCTGAGCTGCACTTTGAGCCTCAGCCCCCTTTATACCATGAGAGGTCTAGGGCTGTTGGACCAAGTCACTGCAAATCTGGCTGAAGAATGCCCATCGCTACCTTTTTAAGGAGGTTTTGAAAGAGGCTCCTGGCGGTGATGAGAAGGGTGATGGCACGAGTAATGAATGCAAGTAATGCTCCAAGTCCTGCTTGGAGTATTAGGTATTTGCTTTTGTTAATGATAATGTTAAGAAGGGCTGATTTTCTAGGGCCATTCTCCAGTGGGATACATCAATGCTGCTCAGCTGTCCTGCATCTCTGCCCAGGGCTCGCAGGGAAGTGTTGATTAGGAGCTACATGATACTTTAGCTCTGGCACCGGCTTTGCACGCAAAAATGAGTGGAAAGTTGTTTTTTCTCCCCAAGACCTTGTGGTTTGAGAAAGCCCTGCAGTTTTTTCCTTGGAGCCCAGAAAATCCTCTGGGGAATGGCAGGAATTGTGGCCTGTAACCAGCTTTCCATCTAGTCCCTGCTGTAGGAGGGATCCCATCCAGATCTGCTGCTGGTCGGCTCTCTCCATGACCCAACCCAGCTCACAAATCTGGCAGAAAGTCAGCCCAAACCAACAAGCAGTTTGCTGCCGTGTGGGCAGCTTCCAGCCAATTCAGTGAAGACTCAGCCAGGACCAAAGGGCCATGATCCAAGTAGAGGAATAGAGAGCGTGGGCAGCAGCAAACCCCACCAGAAAAGGTGACCTCAGCAAGAACCAGCGACTGACTGCAGCTTGGTGTACTTTGCAGAGACCTTTGTAGCTTTTCCCACTGAGGACTGGGTATTTAACTATAAGCAAGGCAGGCATGAATTCAGAAAGCAGAGCAACACCAAAGCCATCCTAGATGGCTTCTCCTCGGAGCAACCTCCATGTGTCCTAAGGCTGTTTCCTATCATTCTGTTGCGGGCACGCAACTGCAGAAATCTACCCTGAAGCTCTGTGCTATGATCCCAATTTGTGAATCCTGCCAAGGAACATCCAATTCAGGAAGATGGGGACCATCTTATTCCTCTGTGACCCCTTGCTTTCCAAAGACACCTCTTATCCCAGTATCTGAGAGCACTGGTGGTATGCAGAGGGACCTGCAGCATCCACAGGATAACTGGGCCCAGCTAAAAGCCATCAGCCTCGCCAGTACATGGCTCTCTCTGATATGTAAGAACCATGATTTGCTTTTTTCTCCTGTAAATTGGTGGGGGTGACAGGATTCGGGGCAGGAAGGTCCCCTTTTCAGGGGCTGCACTTTCTTGGGCTGCTGTGGGAAATAAAAGCAAGCAGCTTAGAAACATTTCCTTTTCCTTTCCGCCTGCTAATGAGATAATTACAGCCTTTTGTATTCTGGGAAACTACTTTCTCATTACGGGGCTGCATCAGCTATTTACATAATAAGCCTGAAACAAAAGAGACGAGATGAAAAGACCCAGACGGCTCTTCAGGGAGAGCTGTTGCGCTGCTGAGGGAGAGCCTGTGGGATGATGGCTTTCTCCATCCCCAAGGTCCTTCTGCCGAGGTCCAGATCAGGTGGCAGCACTTGGTCCAGGATGTCCCCAGCATGGGATGTTCCTCCCTGTCAGCTGCAAGGATGTTCCTCGCTGTCAGTTCTGGGTCCCCAGAACCAGTGCAACACACTCTTACAAACCACCCACCATGATTCCCATTGCCGAAGGATTTGGGAAGGGTGGTCGTGGATTGGGATCCGGTGTGCAGGCAACGGGGAGGGCCGTGTCAGCTGTGCCCTGATGTGGTCAGCATACGTGGGGCTCGCAGCGACACCTTGGGATGAGTCCCACCACCTGAGGATGTGTTGGGTACCAAACAGGCCCATCCTGTGTCCCATTTCCTGTGTCCCAGTTTCCCCATGCTCTCAGCTGTGGCTAAGGGACATGCTGAGTATGAACCTGTCCCATCCCATGTCCCATATCCCCTTATTTGTCTATGGGACACTTTGGGTACCAGACTGTCCCATCCCATGTCCCACATCTCAATTCCCTTTTCCTTGAACTGGACACATTTGGTACCAACCAGTCCCATCCCACGTCCCAGTTCCCTGCCCCACAGCTGGCTAGGGGACACTGGGTACCAACCTGCCCCATTCCACATCCCAGTGCCCTCTCCCCCCAGCTGACCAAGGGACACTCTGTGTACCAAATTGTCCCCGCCAGCCTGCCAACCCGCCACCTCCCTTCCTCAATAAAGGCCTCATTGTTCTCCCCCGACAAAGCCTGAATAGTGCAGCCTGCTCCACCTTCCCCCAGCCAAACCTCCCGCTTTGCTATCAGTTTTCCTTCTTGGTTGGTCGCTGTGTTTAAGGGACATGCTCCACTGCCACCCCTCCCAGTCCTCATCCCCCAGGAAGTCCCCAGGAAGGGGAATCATGGCAAAGCACAGCCGAAACCTCCACCGTGGAGCACACGGCCTTGGCTCCATGCCCTCCTGCCTGTCCTCCTTCCCTCTCCGCTCCCCAGGGGTGCTCCTGGGATGGACTCCCCACCACATATGTGCTACACCTGGGCTGTACCTCTGTCACATGCAGTGACACAAGTCCCTGTCTGCATTCATTGTGCTTTGCTGCATCACCTGTGCTCCTTTCCAGGAGTGATGATGGTGAGAATGATGAAGAGCACCAGAGGCTTGTGCTGGGTCCATGCTTGTGGACCACGCTGCTGGCCTAGAACATCTCTGCAAGCATGAGGTAAAGAGAGCCTGGAAGCCACTTGGAAACCCCTTATTGACAGCAACATCAATAAATCAATATGGGCATTACAATTACTTATACAGAAGAGCTGCTCCTCTTGTCCCAAACCCAGTCTCACCCCAGCTCCTCATCTCAGGGCATTCCCAGTTTTAATCCACAGTATTTTCTGGATGCAAAAGAGCAGACAAAAGTGTGGAATAAAAGGTCAAGCGTCTCGCAGGCTGCACCAGTCTTGAGCTGCTCCAATAAGGAAAGAAATAAAAATTGCTTTGGAGGCTTCAGCAAGGTTGGCAAAGCCCCAGAGAAACCTCGGCAGGTGACGTCTAGATGTAATGTCGTGCTCTGCGATTTGTAAGGGTTCCCAGGGGAGGTTTGCAGCCTCCATCCTCAGAGGTTTTCAAGCCCTGAATAGACCAAGCAGGATCTGGCCTCGTAGCTGAGCCTGCCTTGAATGGCAAAGTGGCCTAGAGACCCCCAAGGTGCCTTTCACTGTGATTTATCCTGCCATGGAGGATGGAGGTTTTGGCAAGATAGCCTAGGGCTGTCTGTCAGCATTGCCCTAGCAATGGGGCTGCAAGTGCTGGCACAGTCCTCAGAAACATTTTCCCCCTTTCCTAGGCTGCTATCAGAGCCCTAGGTTTGGATGCAGGCTGACATCCTCCAGGATGTCTCTCCCAAGGGCAGGTGGGAGGGATTCTCCATTACATGGTATGTCTGTCCCCATTATCCCAAGGAGTAGAGTGCCAGTGGGACAGGATGGTTTCAAGCTCAGCCCAAACTGCCAACCCAAATCCTATGTGTCCATCAGGAAGGGTGTGGACATGGTCTCATCCATACACACCTACCCTTGTGGCTGCCCACAAAAGGTGCTCAGCGCTGGCCGTGGGCTGGTCATTGTCCTCAGTCAAGTCCTGATGACAACTGCTGCTCAGAAAACACCAGATTTGGTGGCACAAGGAAAGCTCCCTGAATTCACTTGGTACAGGGAAAGGGCAGGTTGATGGAGCAGCCTTGTTGCTGGCTGTGGGACTGAGCATCTGGGATGCTCCGTGCTGCAGGCTGGTCCACTTGAAGTCATCCCAGCCCTGTGTGCCTCAGTTTCCCCTGATTAAGGGACTTCCTCTTTGGCAAGTTGGCTGGAGATGAGCTGCTGCCACTTGAGGCCATGGTGCTGCCTGATGCAGATTATTGCAGCAGGGGGTACAGGAGAGCCCCTGGCCCATTGCAGCATGTGGGCACCGTGCTGCTGTCCCCTGCAAGTCCCTCAGTGGGGAGCTACATCTGTTGCCTGGCTCCCCAGTGTCTGCCTGAGCATCCTCATCTGACCCCACCTCCTAAACCTCGGGGATCCCAATGTGATCCCCGGCTACAGACCTGCTCCTTGGATGTAAATGGCTTGTGGTCGGAGCAGGAGGAACCCCCTTGTTACCAAAACATTTCCTTGCATGATTTAGTCCCCTGGCCTGTGTGTTGCCAGGAGGTGGCCTGATCCTGCCCTTTGGGGTGAGCCATCAACCCTGGAGAGGTGCCAAGCAGCCAGCCCTATGGCCCCTGCCTGGCTCTGCCATCCCCAGACCTTGCCCAAACCTCCATCTGAGCAGGAAGGACGAGAGGACTCACCAACGGCTCCCACGCCACTGACCCAGCCATGATTTATCATTAACTTACCCTCAGGAATTTCAAGGGCGCAGAGCCAGCCTGGGAAGTGCTCACTCCTCCCCGGACATGGCTCTCGGAGAAAGCCCCCATGGTGGTTTTTCCTGATGGTGGCTTGTCCCCACTGTCAGGGCTAGCACCAGAGTGGTGCCCCAAAACCCATTGGGGTACAAGCTGGATGCCAGCTGGATCCAGGGTGAGTTTAAAGGGGGAAGGGGGGGGAGGAGGAAATAGCAGCACTCCCCACCCTGAGGAACCCACCTCTGTATACCCCAACTCTGCTCTCACCCCCCCAGTGCAAACCCAGCCCAGTGGGTACGTCCCACCCCAAAAAAGCACCTGCAGCAGATCCCACCAGCTCAGTCCCACGCTAATCCACCGAAACCCCTTCGTTCCCCTGCCCTGGCCCCTTTCAGGTCTCAAACAAAGACACCCGGCGAGACCGGGAAAGAGAGAAAAGGAAAGACACCCCCCCACACCAAAAAAAAAAGCCGGCACCCAGTGGGGCTTACCTGGGCAGCCCAGGGGGGCATCCTCTGGCTCCCCGTCCTCCGCAGGTCTCCACGTTCATCGTCTCCCTGCGTGATATCCCGGGAAAAACCCTAAAATAATACCTGCGGAGAGCAACCTGCTGCTGGGCTGGGGCCAAGGGCCGCACTTTGCTCGGTGTGATTGGCCGCCCGCGCCCGCGGGATCTTAACTCTTTCTTCCCATCGGGGCAGAGATGAGCCCCGCATCCTCAAACGGGGACTTCGGGGTCCGATGGCTTGGTTCGGCTTAAATAAGGGACTTTGGACTCTGATGACTTCTTTTTGCTCAAATAAGGATTTTGGGGCTTGATGGCTTGGGTTTTTTTTCAAATGGGATTTATGGGGTCCGGCAACTTTGTTTTGCTCAAATAGGGATTTTGGGGTCCCCCAGCTGCTTTTTTTTTGAAATAGAAATTTTGGGATCTGACTGCTTGTTTTTGCTCAAATGGGAATTTTGAGGTCTGACTACTTGTTTATTTTCAATGGGGAGTTTTGGGGTCTGACTGCTTAGTTTTGCTCAAATAGAGATTTTGGGGTCTGTTGGCTTTTCTTTCCTCAAACAGGGATTTTGGGGTCTGACATCTTGTTTTTGCTCAAATGGGGATTTTGGAGTCTGATGATGGCTAATTTTTGCTCAAATGGGGTTTTAAGGATCTCACTGCTTGTTTTTTTCAAATGGGGACTTTGAGGCCTGATGGGTTGGTTTTGCTTAAATAGGGAATTTTGGGGTGTGACTGCTTGTTTTTGCTCAAATGGCTATTTTGGATTCTTCCCAGCACAGGACCCTGCTGCTCAACTTCCCCATCCCAATTGGGATGCTTCCCAGCTGGACAGCTGAACTGAGAGCCCAATAATGGCAGAGAGAGGGGCAGAGAGCAGGCAAGTAACTTTGAAACAACCTCAGTTTTTCTTTTCCAGGTGGTTTGGATTAATTGATATCCTAAATCTCACAAATTACAGAAGAATCTGACACCAGAAAGATCACATTTCCTTATATGCCAACACCAACCCATCTCAACCCCAAACTCCCTGATAAAGCTGTGCACACATTTAACAACAACAAAAAAATAAAGTTATGGAGGGATTCGATCCTTCTGTAGCCCATCAGCACATTTTAGCACAGAGCAAATGGAAAGGGGCAGTCATTTTCCCCCCTGGTTATTGCAGATGAGGAAGCAAGCATCAAAGGGTCCATCTGTCATAGAATCATTTAGGTTAGAAGAGACTTTTAAGATCATCAAGTCCAACAGTTCATCTGTCCTCCCCTAACTTTGGCATTTTCCAGCTGATGCCCATCACCCCCCAGAAGTTGATCCAGGATTCTCACCTCCCTCCTTTGCCATCATTATTTGCCATCCGACCCCCCATCCTTGAGCGCAGAGCCCTGGTGATACAGAATGGTCCAGAGCTCCTTCTCTTCCCTCCCTGGCTGCCAGTGCTGCAGCGGGAGAGCAATCAGGCTTCCCATCAGGGGCCGGCTGGCCTCAGCACTTATATTGGATTATTTGCAGTCGTGAAGGGAGTGCAACGAGGGAAATAAAGCTACACAAAGCTGCCGCTAATTTAGACTTATTTGCTCAAGTGAATTTTCTATTGGCAGGATGTCTGCGTATCAAAGGAGTCGTTGGTCGCAGCCTCGCAAACACAGCATCGTCATCGGTGGGCTAATAGCAGCAAGAACAGTAAAATAGCAATAATGCTAACAATAATCAAATATGGGTTACGCATTGCATTTAAACTACAGCAAAACGCACTGCTGGGGTGCATGGGGAAGGTGTAAATTATACCAAAATGGATTCCTGCAGAGACTCAAGCTCTTAATTTTGCCCTTTGACTTCAGAAGCAAAGAATTCCAAGAAACAGGCTGGTTTGTACATTGCTAGAAGAGATTCCCAGCAGCAGGATGCATGGCACACACCTTGGAAATAGCCACATATACAGAAAACCCTCTCCACCCCAGGGACAGCTCTTGCAATAACCAGAGCTGATCCAGGAGCTTCATCAGGGCATGGACCTTCACCCTTGGTGAAGCTGCCCAAGCCAAGAAGCCCTTGGCTGCGGGGTGTGGAGGTGCAGCATCCCTCAGGCTTAGCAGATCTTGCAGGAGGCAGGCAGTTTCCTGACATTACAGCTGGTTAAGGCTGTGCTTGTTCTCTCTTTGGGAGTTGTGTTATGTCTTAGTGCTTCTCACAGATGAATAAATCATGATGGAAGAGACTTTGGAGAATGCTGGAAACTCAGGGATAACCCATACTCCTGGTGCTCTCAGGCAAGTCGTAAACTTTTGAACCCTGAACTCCCATTTCTAACCCAGGTCTCCAGTCATCGAGACATAAACCTCTCTACCCATCAAGCTCACCTCCACCAAAGTCCCTCCACTACCTCTGAAAGCCAATAGAGACGCCCCCAGTTCTCAGCCAGCACTCCATTGTACAGGTGCTCCTGCACAGCCAGCTACATCCAGGCCCTGTTTCCCTGTCCCCATGGGATAGAACCACCAAGACTTAGTCTCATCTCTTTTGGGGGTTTTATTCATGTCTGTGCTGCCTTTTTTGGGCAGCCGTGGCTGGACTGTGCACTCAGACCTGATCAGCTGTGGTGCTTCCAGGCAGTGGTCCTCATTCCCCACAATGGCACACTTTGCATGGAGAACCACAAGTCTGACAGTGGGTTCTTAATTGACATCTAAATTAGACAAGATCACTGTTATCAACACAACTTGCCAGATATTTTCTTTCCAAGATATGTTTGGCTGCCCAGCATATCTCATGGGGACCCTGGGTAGCTAATGGGGAGTGGCATAGCCATCAGAGCATCTCTGGCAGCTGGTCTTTGCGCCTCATGAAAGAGACTGTCCAGATGGAGGGGGCCTGGAAAGTTTGGCTGAGAGCATGAGTTCCAGCTTGCCCACTTGCGGGAAGTCTGGAGCCTCGAGCTGTGTGGAACCACAGGTGGGAAGCAGAAACCAGTCAGGACCTGAAGACTTAACTCAGACTTAAATACAGAGACACCTGTACAGGACAACCTCCAGCCTTGTATTATGGGGCTTGGGGTTACCCAATTAAAAAGCCATCCCTACCCATCCATGACAGACTGGCCTCCTTCTGCCTGGGGAAGAGGCTTTGAACATCCACCTGGACCTAAAACTCCATCCCTCAAGGGATCCCCAAAGCATATTACATCCTTACCCCTTTCTCCCTTGGTTCAACAGTGGGCAAGGCTGTTGTTGCACATAGTTCACATTGAGAGCATGGGCAGCGCCCATCCTCCTGACTCCCAGTTTAATCATTTCAGATGAGAAATTATGGTTGTGGGTTTCCCCGTTCAGCCCTGGTAGACACCTCAGACTCAGCCCCGTATCCAGCAAAATGCAACACTTTTCACTCCAGTTTCACCCATGGGGCCACAGCAGCAATGCCAGTTTTTGCCCCAAAACAGCCAAGACAAACATAGCAGCCCCCAAGCAGCACTCCTAGAGGTCCCACTGGGTCCCTCATTTCGTACACATCCCTTCCCTTGATGGGAGGAAGGTCTGCCTTGACTTTTCCAGCTCCAGCAGCTCACACAGGGCAGCAGCCCCTCTCCAAACCTCCCTTCCCCCAGCAGGCTGAAGTTGTTCAAGGCCACAGTGTCCATGCTAAGAAGGTGGTGGATCTCCAGCACAAGTCCTGAGGTTGCAAAGTGTTTAGCAACACAGAGCTGGTTAAAGTTATGGAGGTTTTTAGCTTTGGGTGAGAGCCACAACAGAATAAGCTCCTGTACCTTAAAAAAAATATATAAAGACAGAAATGAAAAAGGAAAAAAAGGAAAGAAAAAAGGAAAGAAGAGGATCCTCTTTCTCTACTTGGTGGATCCACTGGACTTGCTGCTGTCAAATGGGACCCCAGAGACTCCTGTTGAGTTTTTCTCTTCTGCAGAGAAATTCTCCTGTTTGAGAATTATTTCTGTGGAAATATTCTGAGATTTGGAGGCTTATTTTGGCAATGTTTTGGTTTGTTGTTTTGTTTTTTTTTTTCAGTGAAATTGTTTATTTTCAGTGCCCTCTCCTTCCCTTGAATAGAACAAGATTCAGTTTTCAGACAGAAAAATACTGCTTTTTTCCCTGTTTTTTTTTCTTTTTTTTTTTTTTTTTTTTTTTTCCCTAGAGCCTTCTTCCTCTCAAGGAAAGAAAAAAATAACCCTACCAAAACCTAAACTCTTTGTTCCCCAGATCCTTTGTTTTCTTTTTCCTTTTTCTCACAGAAGTGGCATCCTCTGAGCAGTTCCCCTGGCAGGGTGATTTCAGTCGTGTTGGAGCCATTTCATTTCAAGATCTCAAAGCTCTTTGAGGTCCCTGGACTGCAGCTGCAGAACTGGTTAAGTGTTTGCTGCACTGATCAGAGAAGGAGCAAAATGTCAGCTACAGTGAAGGCTGAAGCTACGGGACTTTCCCTGGGGAATGGCAGCAGAAAGCATTGAAGTGCTCGGGCATGCAGCGAGGAGGAGGTAGAAATGGAAATGGGAGCAGAGACGCCTGGCTCCCTACATCAGGATTTCTTCCTAAAAGCTCTGGAGAGCAAATGCTCCGTGCAAAACACCCTGATGTGAGCAAGAGCTTTCCTCCTCCCTTCACTTAAAATCCTTTATTTACATGGAAGATAATTTTCAAAGCCTTGAGGAGCAGAAAAACCTCCTAAATGAGGGTCTCCCAGCTACTGCACAAACTTTCAGGTCATGAGTGAGGTGAAGGTGTCTCCATGTAGGGATGTCTTCATGCCTTGACTGGGCAACGCTGAGGCCAGCCTGGTCTAGTGATAATGGTAGTCCCACACAGACTGTGGAGTTGGGCTGTAGACTTCCAGACCTTTCCAACCAGCATCACAACAACTTCAGACCTCATCTATGAACTGACTGTGTGTGTAATAAGTGCTTGTCCTCCAGCAGGTTGCATGCTGAAAGCAGATCTCATGTGGTACCTTCAAATCAGCCTTTGTTTGAAGCTCTTCCCCAGTATCTGTTACTGGAGCAGAGATTTCCAGCTTGGTCTTGGGAGGAAGGACCTGAGCCTGCTTTCTGTGACAGTT